ATGTGTAGCTAACTTAATATTTTCTTGTGCGTAGGCTCACAAAATGTTTCAAAGCTCTTGGCAACCCCATTTAACTCCTGAGGGATGTGGCAGTTGTGATTTGGCTTAACAAAGTAAGGCCTCCAGTCAAAGCCACTATTAAACTTCAGTAGTTCCTGATGCCCAGTTCTGTTCTTTAGACTAAGTAGCATGCTGCTGGCAGAGAGCAGGATAAAAATCTTGAGTCGTCTTTTGATTCAACCCTTCCTTTGAAAACTTGCTTGAATTTGATCCCCTAGTGTGGGTCTGCAGAATACATGGCACCCGAAGTGGTTGAAGTCTTCACAGAGGAGGCCACGTTCTATGATAAGCGCTGTGATCTTTGGAGCCTGGGAGTGATTCTGTACATCATGCTCAGTGGTTACCCCCCTTTTGTGGGCAACTGTGGTGCGGACTGCGGCTGGGACAGAGGAGAAGTCTGCAGAGTTTGCCAGGTGAATGCCCAACCTAGGCGTACTTGGGAGCATGTACTTCCCCTGTGAACTTAGCACACCCTGTGAACGTAGGGTATATGAGACTTGCTATAAAGCCAGCCATGAGTTCTGTGTGTAACCCAGCCAGTTATCTGGGAAAACAAGCTGTCACTGAGAAGTGAGGGTGGTGATGTAAAAGCTGTTTGAGGATAATATCCCTTTTAAATTTAAGATTTGGCAAATGCCTCTCTCTCCTCTAAATGTGAGATCTCAGAGCTTCCCCTTGAAGTCTGTTCTGTGATTCTTGATCTCATTTATGGTGATCACCACAGTTCCTCAGTTAAAAGCTGAGCGCTGACAGAGTCTCCGTGCAGGGCTTGAATTTATCCTTTCTAAAAACTGGGCCTGTTGGCTTCATAGGTGCTGGAGTTGTTGCTGGGTACGTAGTTGCTGGGCGTTGTCAGCAGAGGATTTATCACATCCATCTTAGGATGCACTGAAATCACTTTGTGAAGCTGCCTGTCACTCTCCACTGACTCCATGGGGAGACTGGATGATTTCAGCTGTCATACTAGATGGCTAAAATTGGGTGGAAAGGATTCCATCTGAAAAGGTCTAGATTTAGATTTGTCTGACGTGGAGAAGTCTTCTCTTTGCATTCTAGTTGCTATTTAAAATAAAGAATTTTTCTTTCACTAGAACAAGCTCTTTGAGAGCATTCAGGAAGGCAAATACGAGTTTCCTGACAAGGACTGGTCACACATATCCTCTGATGCCAAAGATCTCATCTCAAAGTTGCTGGTTCGTGATGCCAAAGAGCGACTTAGTGCTGCTCAGGTGTTGCAACACTCATGGGTTCAAGGAGTATGTATTCCCCTTTATTTTTTTAATGGTTATTCTTCTGAGTCATAAAACAAGCTGCTCCCTCTCTCTAAACATTTAGTAGATAGATTGCGTATTTCAGTGCTCTTATCTTGATTAATGAAATGATATCCAGTGGCTTCGTTCTTTATGAAACTGTGTGGTAAATATTTGGAGGAATCTGTCAAGCTTTAAGTATTTTATTATTGCATTACTGTTTTGTGCATATAAATAACTTTCTTGTGGATACCAAGCCCTGCAGTGCACAAATTATTATGTTACTCTTTAATGCAGTCATGTAGAACGCCTGTAGTTTCATTGTTAAAAGAATGGCATTGTGATCTTCTGTTTTAGTTCCTAGTTTAGGCAAGCATAGATAGACTCTCTGGAGAGCTTTTCAAGCTTTAATCTTGTACTTGCCAACTGCTGTAGCGGAGGAGAAGGAGGGATTAAGAAATGCATCAGTGGTGATTTGTAAATTCAAGGTACAGTAGTGTATATGCAATATCCATTAATTGTGAAGATTTGGGGGAGTCACCTGTTTTTTATAACTTACTCTTGAGAAGTCTTGGTCCTCAGCTACTAGTATGTAACTAACTACACTACTTCTTCTAGCAGGCTCCTGAAAGGGGATTACCTACACCACAAGTTCTTCAAAGGTAATCTTTAAAAATGTTTGTAAACTCAGCCATGAACTGCTACCAAAGGAATGGGGGAGAGATAAGACGTAACAAATCAGGGGGTAAGATTCCTAGGAGAGGAACTTCATAAATACGGCTGCAGTAATTTTGTTAAGAACATTAGAAACACTAAAGCTCTGTGATTTGTTTTTTTTTTCCTTTATGATCTCATCTTGCTTGTTTGTGGGAAAGGCATTGAAGAGGATTCCTGTGGTGTAGTGCTAATCTTAGACTAGAAGTAATGATGGTTTTGCCAGTTGGCTGCCCAGGAGGGGAAAAAAGGCATAAAGGCAAGTGTTTTCCAAAGAGACTGCACTCTGATGGGTGAATAATCACCATGCACACAGACTCACATCAGAATCCCATTGAAGCTGGTGGTAATCACAGTATCAATTTAAATGCGAGTAGGGCATGCCTCATTTAAAGTGATTTGATGGCAGAGTCTGTATGCTAGAGGGCCTGAGTCACACATCTCTGGTTCTATTTCCATTGCTGCCACTGGTGATTCCAGGTTCTTCCTCCCCTCAGTAATGCGTTTCCCCAAGTCAGATGTGCAATTATAATGGGATTGCAGTTCTCTGAAGTAAGACAGTGTTGTTCCATGCTCCCACCTTTTTAACATGTACAAACTGCAGCATGGCATCTCAGGTGGCTTGCCCAGGTTTACACAGGGAGTCCTTGGCAGAACAAGGAGCAGAACTGTGATTGTTTCCAAAATCCTGGAGTACCTTTGTGTATCACTGGTAGTCACAATGAAGAGAGATGCAAATTTTAAGTGACCTTTTCACTTGCTCTGTCAGCGTTCCCAAAGGAGAAAGAAAACTGCCTATGTATGTATATCTGTGTGTGTGTGTGTGTGTGTATATATATATATATATATATTAAAAATGTGTGTATATATATAAAAATATACTATTGCAAGGTTAGCTCCAGTGAAGTGACTTCACGTGTGTGTTGTAACTGCTTTCTTCTTTTTCCTTAAAGGAACAGCAGCACAAAAGACCTGACACTCTTTGCTGCTGAAGCTATAGCCCTTAACCGCCAGTTGTCTCAGCATGAGAATGAGCTCAACGCAGAGCAGGAGAACATTGTCCATGCTGTGTGTTCTATGAAGCTTTCTCCTCCATCCAAGTCACACCTCGCCAAGCGCAGAGCAATGACGCAGGCCACCAAAAACGGTGACTTCCAGCCAGTTCCCCATAAAGCCTTTTAAACCTCTTTCATGCTATGGATTGGCAAGATCAGCCTGTTTTCTTGTTTGGATTTGCAGCACCAATTGAAGCGTCTCTGCTTCTGACTCTTGATTAGAAGCTTGCTCTTAGGAAATGTCTCATAACTTTACGGGGATAACTTTTTATGGGAATGTTTTTTGCCTGTCAAATTTGGTGCATTAAGATAATTTAACTGATCTTTTTAAACTAGAGAAGATGTGTTTGCTGCTGAGTTATCTGAGGTGGTAAATCACTAAGCTTTCCTTATTTTCTTCTTAAAAGAGCACACTTTAAACTGCCAACTGGAAAACATTGGAAAAAATGCTTTTCTTGCTTTGCCTGGCAAAGTGTCAAGGCCCCCTACCTATGACTGCTCTCCTTGATGGTAAATCTTGCAAGGTGCTGCTGCTAGTGTCAGCAGCAGGGACTGTTTCCAACCAGCAGTGCCCTTTTCTTTCTGTGGACTCAGGAAACGGTGATGATGACTGGGTGGATCTCTGTCGCCATTACCTTTGTTGGGCTTAAATTGTATGTGGATGATATTGTAAAGGTGTAAGCGTTTGTCAGGCTTGTAGAGATGGAGGCGACTGGGTTGCCTTCCCCTCCTCCTCGCCCCCGGTGATTTGTATGTCAGCATGTAGGACAAAAGCTGGAGGAAGATATTATTTCTTTGTTTGACGTGTTTTTGTTCTCTGAACTAGAACGTGCTCCATATCATCTCAGTTTTTTTGTTCTTTTACAGTTACGTTCTTAAATCTGATACCACAGCGTAACAGACGAGTTTGTTTAGCATCTGTTTTTTTTCCTTATTAACGCTATGCTCCGTTATACCTTCCTACCTTGAAACTCGTATCGCTCAAGTTCTTCTTTATGCGTTATCTGGAGTTCTTAATGTGAGTGGACAGGCTTCAGTGAATTTTGGTGTGTGAATAATTTAGGATTTCCAAATGCAAAGGTACATTTGTGAATAAATAGTGCTGCAGTTGTGATATTCTGCCTCCTGCAGTGATCAGGCCAGATAGCTAGAATTCAGATTCCAGTTTTAGTACTGTGGTGCGCTAGAGGTAATGAGTAATTTTAAGAGGTGCTGGCTGAATGGCTGAAGATTTTGGATGACCAGGGTGAATTGTCTGTGCAAAAGGATGTGGGTGTTGAGCACTTTCTGAAATGTAAGCTGTGAAAATTGGGCCACTGAGCTGCCCAACATGATGCACCTTAAACTTGCCACCAATTTCTGAAGACCTTTGCTGGGACATAGTGTGCAAGGTGGGGAGGGGGAGGAGGCTTTCAAGCGCCAGTACAAACCCTCCCAAGCAGCATGAGAAGGAGTAAAGTAGCTATCCAACAAGCAGTTGGAATTTGAGCAGTCAAAGCCAAATGTCTTTGCATGGCCTATTCGGAGTGGTTTTACAGTGTCTTTTAGTAGTGTGCATATGAATATTTTTATACAACATGCTGTATTTTTGATTAATATTAAAGTTCTTATTTAAAGTATTTTATACATTGTGCCAGTGGACAGATTATGAAATGTATTTGCCTTTGTTTTTATTAAAATGTTTTAAGTTATAGAGTTAATGCATTCAATAATTGTGTATTTTTTGTTCTTGATTTTTGGTGACTCTGAAAAATCAGGAAAATATTTACTCTGTGACACTGGGTTTAAGGCATGCTCTGAAAACTAAGCATACTTTCCTCTATGGCTATATTCCTTTATCAGTCTCTGGAGCTCCGGTGATATCACCTCTCTCAAAGTAAGATGTGATTGCACACAGAAGACTGGAAGGGATCCTGTGATCCTTTTTGACCTTCACGAGAGGTCATTTAACCACATTTCTGGTTCTTCCCTTTGATTTGTGAGTGAAGCAAAAATCTTGCGGCTTGTCCAGGAGCGGTGGTGCAACGCAGAATATTCCACTCAGATGGAGCCCTGAAGCCAGTCAGACTCCAGAGCTTCGAGTGCCAGCAGTAGAGTGAAACAGGGCCATTAATGGTGCTGCTTGCCCAGAGGTGGGGTTGGATGGGTTTAGTTAACTCTGAGTGATCCTTTGTGGACTCCTCTCTGCAGCTGCTGCTAACTGGTGGGAGAGGTAGGCCCAGAAGGAGTAAGTTTATGGAACAGTGACTGAAGTCACTGTCTCTGTGTTCTTGGGTGACCTGTTCGGGACAGCCAGTCCTTTCCTCTTTCTCTCTCTTCAAAACCCGGCACGGAAAGTGCATGCAATACATGTGTCTAAGCACAATGAGGAAGAAGATGGCTTGCTGCCTAGATTTGCTTTCCCTTTACAAAAGAGGGCTTAGGAAGAGAGGATGAAACATCCAAAGACTGTTCAGGGATATTCGTGTCATTTACCTTAGGCTAGAGGGATTACTCTCTGGATCTTGGTGGCTGTGCAGGGAACATAAGGTCTGAATTACTGTTCCACAGTGAGCAAGTACTGCTCTAGGCTTGAAGCCTGCTCCTCTACAAGGGGAATGCCTCAGCTGTTGGATGTGCACAGGACAAAGGAGTTCTAGGCACTGGCATGTAAAATGGAGGAAGTCTCCAGCAGGGCTTGCACTAGAGGGTTAAAGTTTGCCTGATGGTTGCCAGGAGGCTCTTAAATGGACGGCTCACGGCCCCATCTGGCTCTTAGGGTGCTCTTAGCTGCCTTGTGGATGCTGCCAGCAGCCGCCTCCACATGTGACCTGTATTATAGCATCCTTGCTCTCCACTGTGACATACTTGCAAATTCATCTGTTCAGGACTTGAAGCTAAGATGTCAGGCACTTTACTGAACAGCTGAAATCCGGACATGCTCTTCCTTGCAGACTGTCCAGCAGTATATGCCAGAGCTGTATAACGTTAGGAACTGAGAAGCTGTTTGCAAGCAGGGAAGTGACTTTGATTTAAGCCAATTGTTGTGTTGTCATGTATAGATTAGCGTTGACTGCCCCTTGCATGCCATTTTTAAGTTTCTTCAGAGAGTTAATAGAGCGTAGATTGGGGAAGGTGGTTTTTCCTGAGAAGTAGTTGGTGTGAGGCAGGGTACAGCACTTCCCTTGTGCCCTGTGAGGCTCCTCTCTGGAATAATCAGGTCAGTCATTCTCTGAAAAACGCCATCATCTTTAGTTCCTTTTCCAAGGAAGCCTGAACAGAGCAAGGATCCCAAACCAGATTTTAGGCCTTTTATTGAAGGCCTTCGCTTCAAAGGAAACTTTCTCACCATATTCGGACCAAGTGCTTTTGTTTGAACTGTGCTTTGCAACCACCTGCCTCTTGATTCCTCTTCCACTCAGTAAGAGATGTAAGGGGTGGGGGGGAGGAATAAATGATGTTAAGGGCTGACTTTTCAGTAGTATAGGTCTTAGGTCTTTCTTTGCCTCAAAATGAGAAGTCAAATTTAGCTGATGGCCCAATACTCGCGCATTAGAGGTGCCTCTTGCCTGTTTCGTCTTTATCTATCAATTAGACTTCTTTATGCTTTATGTCCTTGGAGTTGTGTAACTTGGTAGGCGGAATGCCTTCATCACATTATTTCAGTTACTGGTGATGAAATAGGCTAGACAGCTTTTGTGGGCTCTCTGACTTGAGAAGAACGAAAGAGGCTGGAGACACTTCTGGGGGGGGGGGGGGGGGGGGGGGGCGAAGGAATGGGACAGATAAGCAAAAAGATGGTCTTGAAGTATTCAGAAGTATGTTCTGCCTGGCAGGAAAAGCAACAAAACTGCTAAGCTGATCTTCAACGTTAACTAAGAAGGTTCCCTAGAAAAATTCTCCCTACCCTCTCCCTGCTTTTACCAGGAGGTGGATGAGAAAACCAAAGGAGAAGCATTAGCTTGATTAAGGGTGCTAGTTTAAAACAAATAGCAAGTGAATAGCATTAGCCTCAAAGCAACCTCCTTCTGTCCTATTAGGATTCTTTTGGCACAAAATGCCTTGCAGGATTATTTTACTGAGCTCCCTGTGCAGTATTTCCTAAAGCAGCCTTTGAATACGTTCAGCCTTGCGGTTGCTTGTACATGTTAGAAGCCTTTCTGTATTGTTGGTTGCATAAAAGAAAGCTTTTGTTTTTTCATTGTGTGGTATTTGTTCCCCTCTCTCCTCCTTCCCCACGTGTTTATGGAATCCTTTATCAGAGATGGAGAGATGGGGTTATTTTTGTTTCCCTTTGTGGGTGGGCTGGCTTTCAAGGTGGAGAGCAGCTTGGTTAATTTTCAAAACTAATAATTTTCTTTGGGCCACTCTAGTGGCAGTAGCAGGCTTCAAATTTGGCTTCCATGGAAACCTACTGCCATGGTAACTGAAAGGCCTGACAGTCCTGAGGAAATGTTTGCTTGTACCCTTCTTTCTCTCCTTCTTTCTGTTTCTCATGTGATGTGTGTGTGTTTGGTTACCCATGCCAGATTCAATCAGTGCATTCAAAATGCTCCAAGTACAGAAATGCACTTATTTTGGAAGAAAACAAAAAAGTTCTAAAAGCAATGGTGGTATTTTGCTGACACTTTTGTGAAAAAGCTATTGCAAGTCTGGAGGGAGATGCAACTGACCCACAAATTCCCTCCTTATGGTAGAAACTCCTGAAGTGAATGCTTTGTCTTTAGATTATTTTGTGGAGATTAGTTAGAATTAGATGCTTTGAATCTTGCCCTGTGCCCAGTTAAACATCTGTAATACTGAAGATGGTGAGAACTGAATCATCCAGTGGCTGAAAGACAGTAACAGTGCTTTGATGGGTCCCTTCTAGCTCACTGATTTGATGCTAAGTTTTCTCTTGCTGCTTCTGAGTGCTAACTAACCGGGGTCTGAAAGCAACCAAGTTTCGCGGGGTAACAAGCAGCCACAGTGCAGCAACTTTGTTCTAACTGAGACTGGAGTGGAGGGAAGGGAGAACGGGGCCTTTTGAAATGTTTTGCTAACCAAGAGCAAGGGCAAGGACTGTGTGGCAGAGAGAGAGCAGAGTAGCCTTTAGGCTCATGAAATATGCTTTCTGTCTGATCCAGAGTAAAGCTCTTGACCCAGCTTGCCTCTGGATCATACAAAAATGCAAGTAGCCAGCTGTTAGACAACACTGTGTATGTCTTGGTGGCGACCTTGTGCCCCCTCTGCTCCCTCACCCCTAAATCATCCTGGACTTCAGAGAATGTTTCTGGTCAGCTAGCTGCCTTGGGAATTGTGATCTCTGCTCTCAGCTCCAGGCTGCTTGTGGAGAAAGCAAAGATGCCACGTCTATTTCCTGCTGCTTCCCCCCCCCCCTCTTTTTTCCCCCTTCTTTATCCAAGTGCTCACCTTCCAGCAGCTTTAGGTCTGCTCGCTTAGTGCAGGCGATGCTCCAGTGAACTGCCATAGCCTCAAAAGACAGTTGTGAAATGAAAGGGAGAGACAGCTCATGGAGCTACATGTAGAAGGAGAGCAGACAGTGGCCGTGACACAGGTTGGTGAACTAGGAATATAGGAAGGGCCAGATCCTGTCCTTTGCAGTCATAGAGAGCTATGTTGTAGGACCAAAGCCGTTATGAACTGTTCCAGATTTAAAGGGGTTACAATGAGGAATTACAGTTACACCTGTGTCTTTCTGTAGTGAAGTTTTGCATGGCTTAATTGCAGTCTGCTTGACAAGTACACTGGCCAGTTTTGTGGTCTCAGTGCCTGCTATTTTGTATTGGAACCACAGTGCAGGAGTCCTGCCTCCCAATTCTGGGGATGCAGCAAAGAGCTGCAGCATTCTTTTGTTAAGAGCAGAAATAATGAGATCCCTATACGGATGGCCTTGTTTGTCACTGAGCTTTGCTGAGATCTTGTGTTGGTAACACCAACAGCGCAGTTGCTTCTGGTGATGGGGGATGAAGGAGGTTGGCTTATCTCCACTTGCAGAGAGCAGCTGAATGGAAGCAAAAGGCTGCATGGAGCCAAGATAACAAGTCCTGCCGAAGAGGGACAGGGAACAGCTGTGTTCAGCAGCATCAGGCTGTGAGGAGGCCCTGTGGGATGATCCAGGAAGTGGGCTCCTTTTAATAGGTTGCGTGGGAGTAATATGTTTTGTTTGGCATTATCCATGAAACATGCTATTTTCAGAGAAAAACACGTATATCCCTGCTTTGAAAACCTTTTGTGGGGCAAATACCTCCCACGCCCATCCAAAGTACTGATTTCTGGTACGAAGCTTCCAGCTGACTTCAACAGGCATCAGGTCACACAGTGACTGGTTTTCTCTTATATTAAGTTGTGTCATATCCTTGTTGCTCCACAGAGTAATCTTAGGATAATTTGGGTGCTTTCAGGTTGTATTTACAGTACACTGCCAATGCTCTCCAAGCTAAGCTGGGAACGCTATCCATGCGTTTTGTTGCCGTGTTTTGTGAAAGGATTGTGTTACCCCTGACTAGCAAAAATCCCCTTTCACCCCCTGCATAATCTTCCACCAGCACCTGAATGCAGCTTTCCTTACTTCCTGTCTCATACTGTCCCACAGTTACATCATGCCCTGGGAAGTTGGTTTTTGTGGCTTTTCATTGGAGTGGAGGGCTTTCTCTCTCGTCTCTACACGTGCTCTCAGCTTCATTGCAATGCAG